ACTATCCCATGCTCGCTACGGAGGTGATAGCAACTGCTCGAAACAATCACTCACAGCCAACTTGAACCAGGCTCAGATTCCGACTCCGTGGACTAGAAGTTTCTCGAGGATAATGATACAAGCATAGATAAGCCGCCACTTCTAATCTCCATTCCGCCCAGTAATTACGTGGCACGAACTTGGATGAGATTTCCAGCAGACATGACTCTGAGTAATCATCTAGTTCCTCTTGTTTTGTTTTTTTATAAATTCTTCATAACACCGTTATTTCAATCAATAACCCGACCATCTAGATAAACGAACAAAAAGGAAAAGAGAATAAAAATAAAATAAACACTACAAGTACTTTGAAATATATTTTTATATCCCGTGGTCCATGACCACTGGGCCCTCTCTCCCGGCCCAGTGGAAAGAAAAGGGTGCGGTTGCAATGAGATACAATGAAAGGTAGAAAATGACCCCCCCCCCCCTTTTTTTTAAGAAAAAAACAAAGGCAAACAAACCAAAGATACATCGTTTCAAACCAGTTCACAAAATACCCACTGACACCCAATCTAAACCGTTCCTGATCAAGATATTCTGACACCTATGCATCATCTGCAGCGTCAATGCCATTTGCCTCGGCCTGTGAAGGTTTTTAGTACGGATTCGTGAACCAACAAACGATCAAACAAGCCGGCTAGGTTCGGAGGCCTACATTGCTCCCCCCACCTCCCTTCTTTGCTTCTGCTTCCTCCTCACCAGCATGTGCATGCGGTCCTTGCTCACTCCCTTCGAGAGGTTTTCGCTCCCCACGCTCCCCACGCTCTCTCCGCTCCCTTCGCTCCCTACTCTTTTCTAAGGCCTTATTTTGAATTTCCTTCTTATCTTGTTCCCACTCGCCCTTCTTATCTTGCCAACTCTCACTAACTCTCTTTGCACGCTCAACTTCCTCCTGCTCCCTAGCCTCCTTCTCGAGTCTCTCTTCCTCCATGCGTTCCATCTGCTTAAGGTCGTCTGCTGAGGGTTCGTAAAGATGCCAGATGGTATAATGTGGGAGCCCAACAACTGAGAACTTCAGGCGTTTTGCCATCTATTATAAAGTTAGCGAAGAGGTCAGATCGAAAGGCATGAGCCACTAACTTTTCCAAAACCCTCAGTCTCGGCATGCTTCTCAAAGGAAAATGCGGGGAAATGTGCACCAGTTCGGAACACGCGTGCTTTTGCAAGGATACTGACACCTCCGACTCCATCAATCTCCATCTCGACATCAGGATCACCATATGGGTCACGGAGATAAGCCAGATGAGGTCTCCAGGTGGCGTATTCGGCATATCCCTCGACGATGACGGCATCTTCATCGAGTGTCTCAGCAAGCGCAAGGGCAGTCTCGGACTCTTGCCAGGAATTGAGATCGTAGGGTTGTTCGCCTCCAAGCCAATCAGGAAGCGGTCGCCAGACATCTTTGTTGGAACCATACAATTAGCGTTCCCGGCATGTGCAAGAGGTGGGGTAATCAGGCACAGGTGTGGTAATTAGGGGAAGAAATGGATAATCAAAATTAGTGCTAAAGTGATTGTCTCGTAGGAATTGAATCCTCTGGAGTAGCAAGTACATGGGTTTGCATCGTTTGGTGATGAGGCGAACTGTAACACTGAGCCAAGACAACAGGAAGACTTACTCGGAACAATGACGTCCTTGTTGTGTCTCATCAAATCCTCAAGGATAGTTGGCGGAGCAGTTTCCACATCGGCATCTCTCCAATAAACCCACGAGTGGTAAGGCTTCAACGTAGCGCTCAAGAGCCAATTCCGGGCCTGTGCCATTTTTTTCCTACGGCTGGCCTGCGCAGCAAAACCGTGCCTATTCTCAACGTCTTGTTGGACCTTCTGCCCAAAATCCTTCTCAATCACGGAAATCTCTCCAAAGGGCTGAAGCGGATCGGGGTCAGCTTGCACCTTTTCCAAGTGCTCTTTGAGCAACATCAAGGTGCGGTCCTTCGAGTCAGACACCAGGAACGCAAGGTCGACGAGGCGATGAGGGTACGTGAAATTCCGCAAATGCGAGAAGAACATGGGGAGATGGACCTCAGCATCACGCAGTGGCACACACATGAGTATCCTCTCATCCTTTTCCCAACCACGGGCGGACCCCTGAGCGTTGGAGAGATCGTAGTGCTTGACAGTGGATATCAAGGGATCATCCCGCAAGAGCGCCGACAGGCCCAGTGACGGGAGGAGGAGCTGTCGGAACGAAGGGAAGATGAGGAGCAATATCACGGCGGCGACGGTAGAAATCGAGCATATCCTAAAGAGAATCTTCCGTCGCCATCGTAGCGCGGGTTGTGTGCGGGGCTGAAATCTGATGATTTTTTTTTTAACGACAAATAAGCAAAGTTTGACCGGTGAAACTAGTTTGAGTTTTGTAGTACCTGTGTGGTGAAATAGAGAATGTGTTGCTTGGTCCGTAGGCATGGCCGTTGGAGTAAGCGTGAGAGTGCCTGGACATCATCGGGGCAGAGAATGCATGCGGTAGCGATTACGGGTGAGAGGGAGTGAACTAAAGGAAAGGAAAAGAGAGGGAGGAGGAATCCTTTTGATTTTGAGGGGCTTCTAGCCGCTTGAGGTTGCGAGGAGGCTCTCGGGAGAGGGATACGGTACGGTACTGTAAACGGGTGGGAAAAAAAGGAAGAAAAGGGGAAGACGCGGATCAAGCTTCTACAAGTACTCCAGGGGCCAGTAACGAAAGTTTGGCGCCGCTCGCCTGCCGAGAAATTAATAAATACAAGGGACCTCCCAACACCTCCGAATTAAAGGCAGATCCAACGAACTCAGATGGTAAGGACGCCGGACAAAGAGAGGAGTAATGAGGGCCAATAAAATTGAAGTCAGGACAGCGGTAGATTAGACACCGTGTCCGAAACCAAATTTGAAAAGGAGGTACCGGTATTTGGAGGGTTTTCTTGGAGACGGGAGGAGAACGCAAAGGTCCGAAGTGAAGATCAGAGAGGATCACTTCTCCCAGTTGGAGGCAGGTCACTTGAAGGTGGACGACGGACAGATGAAGTATCTCCTTCTCAGGAGTCCCCTTGTCAGCTCCTAACGTTAACAGACGCCTTCCTAAGATTAACTTTTGTAAGCTGAGAGGTGCCTGCTTACCGGTCCCGTATGCCACTCTATACAAATGCGTTTTATCCTTTTGCCCAAGACCCTCTCATTAAATGTGCAGGAAAAAACCCCCGGTTGCAGCACTTCAGATCAGGTTCAAAGCACAATGATGGTGGTCGCGAGCATCACGATGATTTGGGGCTCTTGATGTCCTTGAACCGCACCGGTGGTCCGCGGGCTGTCCTAGACTACGATAACGCCCGCGATAAATCGATCAAGCTTCGGCCGGTAGAGAGGAGGAAACTTGACACTATCGAAGCTGACACACGGGTGCAGGAAAAAGATTCCATTCTATTTTTCCACTCTCCCGCCGCCAGTCTTTTTTTTTTTTTAGAACATTTTTGAACCCTTACCCTTCCGCCGAGGTGGAAGATCCGGCACTCTCTGTGTCACGCTGCGTCGGGATCACTCGTATTTTCATGCATTTTCACCTCTCTCGTTTCAGCAAGATTTTGGTTTAACTTGGCATACCGGTTTGATACGTGCATCATGCGCTTTCGACTCGTACTCGAGTACCGTATCAGACCACATACGGTGCCGGTATCCCGGAACCCGGCATTGAAAACGGGCCCAGAAACGCTTGAGATGCCCCCTATACTCGAGTACTTGTACGAGTGGTGCCAAGCAATCAGTGATCTGATGCAGTAATTAATTTAGCGAACACGGGCCGAGTTCGATAATCTACAAGTACTGTAGACTATCATACCCAACCACCATGCTCTGGTGTGTTGACCTGGTCCCCTCCGTCGCATAACCTTGATCTTGACCTGCCCTGACAGGGCCAACCCAGCCTTTAATCCAGTCTACCCGATTATCATATTATTATCATAGCTGGCCGATTTCGTTTGTCTCCGGACAGGGTTAAGTCCGTGTGTGGCGGCTTAGGCGAGGCTGTGCTTAGAAGAGGCGCAATGAGCTCCGGGTTCCTTTCAAGGGCAACACTCGCTATCATGGTTCATCAGCAATCAGGGCTTTCAGAACCCTGGCCCTGCAGCCGCTTTACGCTGGAGCCGACTGCATTCGGCCAGCCTTAAAGGTCAGAACTACGAGTATGATACGTGCTAGGGGAGATGTTTTCGTACAGGACAGGGATTATTTTGCGGGTTAACCTAAATTAACTGTGCGAAAACATTATCCCTGGCACTTGTACATCCTTTTAATTCCAGAAATCTCTCCGTACGTGCAGGAACCGCCCCTTTGGCTATCTGGCGCAAAAACATTTTATTTTTCCTACTATTTCGGGGGGTTGCTAGGAGACAGGTGAAATGGGTAGATATGGGTTACTGTACTACATAGAAATCTAAAGATATAAAAGCGAGCAAACGAGAATTAAATCACGTCTCACCATCGAGTCGGCCCACCATTGCTTCGGATACAAGTTAAGTTACAATCCGTTGGGGCATACCATTAGTGCAGCCATAGATAGACTTCCACGAAAGCCCTTCCCACACTTGCCGTACCAAACAGATCAACTCCTCCTCATTCTTTGGTACACCTTGCCCCTCCCGGACCGTCCCCCAATACTTGCACAGTATTTGAATAGTGCCCAAAGGCTCTCTATTGGGCACCGGGTCCGGGTGTGCGCGGGGTGAGCGTGCGACGAGAATAGGGCTTGCGATCGAAACCGGGTTTGGCTTTTTCGGCTTTCCGCCATTCTCCGGAACGCCTGGGGCTGGGATAGGTGGTGTGATGGCCATATAAGAATGCACCCCGGGATCTGACCAGGATTAGGCCCCCAATAAAAGTAGGGTGCGGATTCCTCATCTTGTACTCTTACAGTACATAGGCAAACTCGGGCCCTAGTTGCCCTAGTGGCTTTTGTCACCGAGCTGCCACGGGACACTTAAAATTTTTACTTCATCCGTGTAATCTTCCGAACATATTTCTTCCTCCACTGTCTTCTTTTTCTATACTACCTCTCCCTCTTCTTCCCGCCAGTATTTTATCCCCCCGGCTATGCATCGCTTGCCCGTTGCTTGACCTCGAGGCATGGCGTGTGTTGGGAAGGTGTCGGGCTACCTAAAACCTCAACTAGCGCAAGGCTGCGGGTGATATTCCATGATTCCAGAAACAAGGTAACCGATCACCAATTATGATTGACCCGTTCACACTCCTTCGATCGACTCCCGTTCCCACAAACTAGAGCACAAACCTCTTTCCATAGGGCCTTCACGCCGCCTACAGTGCCATAAGAACTCCAATGGCTGACCTCACGCTCGGACTTCGGGGTTGCCCCGGGGTCACCAGCGTGCCCAACGGATAACAGATGCTTTCGTAGCCCCGAATATGAGATGTCTGGTCGCTGATTTTTCCACGCATGTGGCCTCTCATGGTGTCACCGGTTTTTGCACGGATGGTGCAGAAAGCCGTCTAGGGTTCGTGAAGATACAAGCGGGGCGCAGGACAGTAACCTGGGCCGGGCAAGGTGCCGGGAGTCCAGCCACTTTCACCACTGTAGGAGATAATAAGAAGCCTAGCCCCTGGGCCACCCTTCCGGGAAAAATATGGTGCCGTAGACACTATCATATTCTGACACGATTAATGACAATGGATCCGTACTCCAGTTCATTTCACCCCGCTAGATCCTGCTATCCGACCGGAGGGCTCACATCCCATCCGTTCACCGGCCTTCAGGAAGCCCGTAATTTCATCCATAATATCCAGACTAGGAGGGAAATAGTGCTCGAAAGCTGGCTCTCGGCACCCCCGCATTCGTGAGCATTGCCTGCCTGGAGTGCGGCCCTGGGGGGTTATCGACTGGTCGGCTCGGGCCTGGAGCGGACAGTCTTGTAATTGTCCTGAAAGAATTATCGGACGATGAAACTCTAAAAAGCTCGCCATCCATATATCAGGGCTGATAGACGCGGCATGGTTGTCGCAGAGAGTATGTAATGTCGACCCTAAGGCATCCCATTTCGGGCCATGTTGATGGATCCTCTAGCGAGCGGTGCCACATTGATCCGGCGAGAATTGTCATATTCATTCCGGTGCACTGGGGCCGTGCGGCCCAGCCAAGGATTGTTATTGACCGTGAGAGAGGGCCGGTGGTAGTGGTGGGATAGTTTCCCCTTTGGAGAGGTTGGTGGCCCCTCTAGACGGTCATCGCATTTTCCTCGTGCAGGAGGTAGTACTTATCCAATTATCTCCACCATCGAGTGGAAATTGGTGTTTCTCGCACCATTGGTGAGATTGAGACCGAACAATGTCGGGATCCTTTTCACCATATCACATATGTGGACGTTGAGCCCGAGTGCACTGTTGTATACTGGGGCAAAGTTGACGGTGGGAAAGAGAGCAATACACCGGTAGGAGCAATAACATGGTCGTCAAATATCCCTGCCTTGTTGGAAAACGCGAAAGAGGGCTTCCTGCGAGATCTCCACAATATCTGTAGATGGGTGTTATGGGGCTGCGGGTACAGGACCGGCTGTTAATGGAGCGGTTTTTTTTCCAACTCTCTTGAGATCCCGGGAGCTTGCGTTGGTATCCTGTGCTCTAGTATCAGGTATTCCACCCCGGATGGCGGCCTAATATTAATGCAACGGCATTGGTGGTGAATCTTGCCATGCGGGGTTTTTTTTTGCTCGAATCAAATGATCACTCTTCTCGTTGGGCTCTGCAGCAGTTAGTACCTGCACGGCGGCCTTCTGACCTGGCAGCGTATGTTAGAATACTAAGCGTGACACACCCGTCATGACACCTGTCAGACAAGGTGTTGGCACTCGGCGTTTTTCAAAGTCTCTGGAATGGGAAATGAATAAGTGGTTCACTTATTGTGTGATTGACAGCTTCACCCCACCGAAACCTGCAGGAACCTCCGGTAACTTGGGCAACGGGCCCGTGACTCGCATTTCGGTGACTTTAGAAAACACCGAGTATCGTACATATCATACTCGTACAACGCCGGTAGAGTCCCTGGCAGACACCCTGGCAACACTACCGATAGAGGAATTTCCCTAGCTCCGATGGATGCCGGTTAGCAGCGCAAACACCGGCGTCAAGCCGACATCCCCAGAGATTGTATTATAATGTTGACTGGTCTGGTCTAATGGTCTATCGTCCTTTCCCCAGTTTTCATCCCGAGCGCGACGGTAGGAGCAATATTGACTGGGTAATGAAGATAATGTTCTGCGTACCGGTATTCCAGGGCCTGAACCGCATGACCGGCTTCCGACATCCTTTGCCCCTTCGGAAATATTTTATTGTCTGGTATGCCGGCAGTCAGGGAACATGCTGTAGCAGACAAGCCGCTCTTCCCAGCCCCATCTGAGTCAGTTCAGCTGGCAACCTCTGCTCAGCGGGTTAAATACTTGAGTGCCGCCGGTACTTCCGAAGTTCTGAGCTCCCCGGCGTGTTTGGCGTTGCGTGATTTTGGCGATGCGCGTTCCTCTTGAAGCTGAAGACCATCGACTCTTACCGTATCATAAGACAAGCGATCGTTGCCAACCCGATCAAGTGCGAACCTGTTGTATTCTAAGGGTCGTATCGGAGCTCCTAAAGACAGCCCAGCCCGGAGGCTTAGTCTCGACAGGAGGAGGTGATCATTGAAAGGACCTTTCCTCTGGATTTCTTCTAGCAAGGGATTGCGCCAGATCAACCCTCCCCCCTTCTCCTCGCCGATCCACGCCGATCCACGCAGCTACCATAATTCAACCCAGACCTCCCTCCAGTGCCAATACAGATGGTGCGGTATCACCGTCAATCTGGGCTCCTGCAAAAAGCGCCCACACCCCCACCGATCTCCGTACGGGCTCGCGATTTTATCAGCCTTATCAGTTCCATCAAGTTTCTCCGTGCGCATAATGAGTTTGTGACATGATAGCACTGAGCACCCGGTAACCTCGATGGAACCGGAGTACTTGCACTGTAGACGGAACATCGTCACTGTGCTCGCCTCCACTGGCTGTCATGGGAAGCTAGTGGGTTAGTAGGTACTGTGCAGTGTAGCACAGCACAGCAGCACGGGATGAGGGAGAAAACAAAAGTCAGGCAAAGAGGGATTTATCTCCAGCATATCGAACAGAGCGCATCTCTAGCAATCGTACACAGACCAATGACGTGACTTGTATACCGGTAAGCTCACGAGACCATCCATCGGCGGTCCAAACAAACCCTGTTCCACCCCTTTTGCACTCGAACACGGGTCTACGAGTACATTTTACAGTGTTACACCGAGCCGGCCCAGTGAAGCGAAGTTACCCGCCGCTGAGCGCTTCTTGACCATTTCCAGCCGACAACGCCAAGCCTGAATCGCCCCCCAGGAATGGCTCGATCTTCCCGCTATTGTCTTCAAAGTTTCATCTTGTCGGAGCAATTGCCAACCCCAATTACAGTAGACTCAGTCAGTCCCCCGCGATCCACAGTGGGTAAACCACTCTTCCATCCAGTCTGAAAGAAAAGGAAAAAGAAAATAATAATCGTAGAATGATTCTTGGTTCTTTTCCTTTCCAACGGCGGGAATAAAGAGCTCTTGCGCTTGGAGTCTAAGCTGTGGGGAAGAATTCGAGACTTGCACACCCATCCTTGGCAAGTTAACGTGGGCAGGACGGTCGGCTCTTGGTCCCATCCCCTCCCAGGGTCTCCTCCCCCCACCTTTTCCCTTTCATCCTTCACCTCAATTGTCCCCCCAATCCCAATAATATTTCGGGATCTTGGAATCTGGTCTTAATTCTTAACCGAAGAGGAGGAGAAAAAGGGAGCAAGCAAGATCTTCCATGCCATTCTCCGTGATGAGATGGCGCCCTTATCGTTAACCCACAGCCTCGGGGGCAGCAACACGGGTGAGGACAATGAGAATGACGACTACTACACACCCGGAAACCCCTCCACCAGCGGAATCCTCCTCGTGATACTTGTATTCTCCTTCTTCGCGCTGGTTTTCACCATCGTTACTGGGTGGGTGTGGTGCGTGTCTGCTGTCGAGCCGACGTATTACTCTGTTAGGACGCATCGGAGGGGTGCATGGAGGACTAAACGTGTGGTTCCTTTTAGAGGTATTTTCCCCACCCACCGCTCAATCCCTTATATCGGGCGCTAATTGGTATGAGAAGAATGGTATCGGAAGAGATTGAACCTTCCCCGAACGCCCTCCGACATTCGGCGGGAGGAACACTATGCTAGGGTCTTGACCAACCTGCGGATTAAAGGCTGGGAAGGCCGCGTTCTGCGCAATGGCCAACCGGATGATCGCCGCTGGATGCGCCCTCGCGACACTAGATTCTGGAGACTGCACGGGCATAAGAATAGCTTGGATACCTTCCAGCCATTAATGAGGAAGGGGGATGGTTATGGTGCCATCACGATACCGACAAAGAGAGAGGGTGACTGGGAGGATGATAGTGGCGACAGCGCATCAGTGGGATACTCGCCATTCACTATTCCGAGGCTCTTTGGGGCACCATTGAGGACTTTGCAGGAGGAGGCTGGAGGGGGGGGTGGTGGTGGAGTAGGGAAGAGACAAAGAAGTAGGAGCTTGAATGCTGGAAGCACACGAAGGTCTAGAAAGGCCCGGCGAACGACGGAAGAGATGAGGAGTAATAGTTGGGGACCAAGGGGTTCCAGGTGTAGTATTGGGAGGTGTGGTAGGGTTGGCAGTGGACTTAGCACTGCCAGCACGTTGGAGATTGTCATGGAGGAGGGGCAGAGCTTTTGATGGTGGGCGGCATGCAGGGGTTTTTCACGATATCATGATTTCCTGTCACAATTATGGGTAACTTATTGGAATTCGGGAGTTTGTCGGCGTGATGGATGGCGTGCACTTATTAGCGGATCATTTACCCTTTTCCTCCTCTTTTTTGCACAGTTCATCTGTTTTAGTTTGGTCGGTCGGTCGGTTCTTTGTCGTTATTCACTTCTTTCCTTCTTTCTTTCGTTCATCACCACCGAACACTTACTGTACTCTTTTGCACTGTACTAGTACTTGAGTCCTCTCGTTTCCCGCCAGAAAAAAAGAAGCGAAAAAGCTAGCTTATGCAATACCATACTGGTATAGTAGTCTCACTGTGCCGTACCCTTCTCCCCCTAAAATACCGAATTTTAATTTTAATTTTTTTCATCTCCATCTCACCATCCTCATCTACCGTTATCGCTAGAGTATCCTCCTCACTCCACACAAGTCTTTCTTTCTTCTCCTCTCCACAATCCCGTATCATACGTCCCAACCAGACATCACAGAAAAACAAAAGCAAACACAAAAGGTCAACGGGACCTTGCAGAATCTGATGATGGTGATGAGAACAAATAAGAAAGAAGCCTGGGTACCTGCTCGGATTGATTCGGAATCGGCCCTGTTTGATCTTGACTTGAAGCTTGGGGTTTGAATTCGGGTTGCGAGCCTGCGTCCGAAGTGGGTGGGTGAGCACTGAGCACCCTATGATAGAAGAGGGATGGTATACGGTACATGATGATCGGAACGTTTCTTGGAGCGGGACTTGGTTGGTGGAGCGGTGGGTGGAACCTTTATTCTATTATTGGCTCTAAGGTACGGTTACTAGCATCAGCCTCCGATGATTGTTTCTCGAGATTCAGTCCCTGATTAGTCTACCTTTTTTTCTCTTTGTCCGCTGTGGTTGTTTGGGTACCGTACACTACTCAAGTACTTGGGTTGGTCTATTGTGACAAGGTAGGTTATGGAGGTATCATGGGTCACGGCGCCCCCCATCTTCTATGATGAGCCTTGAGCGCTGAATGTTCCGACTTTCATCTCATGGCGCTCCCCGATAATCTCTGGTCGGGTAGCGTGGGGTTCAGGGAATTATGTGTGTGCATGACGTGAAAAGGAAAGGGGATATAAATCTTCATGGGCACGGCACGGTACTATAGGTTTATTTATCTCTGGTGATTACTGTACTATCTGGTTGTGATACTGTACGAGTAGAAGAGGTGTTCGGTAGTGGGGGTTTTCGGAGGGATTTTTTTTTCCTCCCCATTTTTCTCTTGAATGTGGTTCGCTACTCGTGCAGCCCAGTTTGCGTTTTAGTTGCCGTGGCGTTGGGGGGTTTGGAGGACTGACTGACTGACCAACTTACCGTGGTCTACGGCCTTTGCCCACCGAGCTCAAAGAGTCCGCTGCAAAGGGCACTAGCACCGAACCGGGCTTTAACGTTTAGGTATAAATAGACGATTACTCGAGCACTCCAGATGCCAGACGTTATCCAGCCCTTCAAGGCCCAGTTGTGCCTGGGCTCACCCACGGCCTTTGGGTGGGAGTCTAAGCCAGCTTTGTGTTTGGCCACCGTTCTCATTATAGGGCCCCCACTAGCGCCGAGGTCTTGTTAACGGCGAAAGGGCCGTGCCAGTGGTATATGATAAACTTCTCTCTTGATCTTTCTTTAACAGCGCAAACGATTAGTCACAGTGTCGCGATACCGGTATCTGGCTCTGTGGCAGAGGCACTTATTCCGGGGTTGGGGAAGCGTTTTATATGTACCGTAGGGAAGGTCTATATCCACACACTAGCAAAGCCAACCTACCGGTACCCGAGAAACCTCCATAACTTAAGCGTTTCCTAGACCCTGGGCCAAGCACTTCTCATACAGCACTGCGGGCACACGCACAGAGTAGGCGGCAAGAACAAACCCCGAGCAGTCGGGCGGAAACTGCTTGTACTTGTCTACTGTGTTCTCACGACTCGCGCTCGGGGTGTAAATACCCGGAGCTGCCCGGCAGCTTTCCGAGTAAATTCCATGAAAGTTCGTAGAGATGCTATCCATTCTTCCCTTCTTTCTTGTCTGAATAAGAAAAGACGGAGAGAACCTTTATCTTAGCACTTTTGCCTACAGCCCCCCCTTTCCGGGTTCCGCTACCATCAGTCACGATCCACGAGTGATCTCTCATGAATATGAAACCAACGCAGGGCCAATGGGGTCGAATCCCCCCGCCTCTGGTAAACACTATCATACTCGGTAGCAGCAAGCTAACCATATCAGTGGGTACCCGGGCCGTTCCCCGATGCTGGCACTAGTACACCGGTCTCGGAATTCGAGTTGGGTGCTTCCCGATGCGCTACAACTCGGGGAGGCGCGACTCCGATCTCCCCGACCCGAGGAGGGAGGTTCGCCAAACCCTCCCGCCGCCACAGCGTGTGCTAAAAACAAAAAACACGAAAAACAAAAAACAAGACACGGCGTTCTGGAGTTCGGATAGGAGCGTTTGAGGGCTCGAGCCGATCGACTTCAGTGTTTCTATCTCATGTTCTCCAAACCTTTCTACTACTGTAGAAGGTGTATTCCTGTGAATTAACTGGCGCCGTCCGCTCCCGCACGCTCTGTCGACGGGCCAAGGATCATGCCTTTCGGATTATTCGGGGAACTTGCTTGTCATCCGGCTTCCTATCTAAAATGGGGGGGTACCTAGGTAGGTAGGTAAGTGTGGCTGGCCCCTCGGCGATTAGATTTCTCTGAAGTCATGGGTTTTCATGTTATGTTTGCTTGCTTATTGCATTCTGCAGATTGGGGAGGTGTGGAAGGCCTCTTCCTCCTGATTTTGCTTTGTATATGATTTCTGTTGCTTTCGGTCATTTGAAATGTGTTCGGGATAGCTGTATCTGGTCGCTTATCGATAGAATGTTGGCGAGCATCATTTCTCCCTAGAATCAAAGGTCTGTCCTTGTCTTTCCCATGTTAGGCTTTATTGTCTGCAATTTCTTGTGCACGCCATCTACAGCAGTTACCGATCTACAGTAGGGAAGAAAGCAGGTAATGTCACTTCCCGAAATTGTCTTGTTCGTGCAAGTTTCTGCATCCGGTTTGCTTTTGCTCTGTACTGTACTGTACTTGTAGTCTGACGGAGTACGCGGAACTCTCTCACGGATTTGGGATAGATATTAGTAGTCTTTTTTTTCTTCTTTTTTTTTCCCCCTTCTATCCCTGGTTCCCCATCTCCATGGGCTAATAAACAAAGGACTCGAACAGACGCAAAAAAACAGACCACGGAACGGCCAGAGTGTCAAGTGGGCCAGCAGTAGACACCTCTTCCTTCAAATCCCCCTTCCAGAGCGGGTCCGCTGGGAAGTTCATCTTTTTTTCTTTCCCCCTCCCAGGAAAGAGTCCCGGGGGAAGGTAGAAAGGGGGGTTAGCCCAGACTCTATACACATATATATAATATGGAACTAGCGCTAGTTTCTAAGTTCTGCCGCTCTGTCAGGATTTACCTCCGGAGCACATGATGGGTGGGTTGGTATAGATGGAGAACGTACGATAGGATGAGATTACAAGAAGCAAGAATCTGTGTATATCATAGTAACCGGAACCTGGGCAGATTCATTGGCCATCACTCGTCTAGTGGGTGAGGTTCGAAGGGTAGGTTTGCGATTGCTTGTATACCATACGGCACGACAAGATACGATAGGTATGATACGGTAACTCACAGAGAACCCACCGAATGCCCCTATCAATACCAGCATGATATGATGTAAAAAAACACCTCACATCTCCTCAGAGAATGAGAAACGGCGGGGAGATTTTTTTTTAAAAAAAAACATGGCCACACAGAGGAGGAATAGGGAAGCCCGCAATCCGGGGTCTTAAGCATGATACAGAATTATCCTCCGACATCGCGGATAAGAGTAGGTATGGTAGATACAACTTGACTCCTTCTCCTCAGTGACGTCCCTCTGCTAGAGCCTCATACCCCAGGAAGCTGTGGATGGCTCCATAAAAGAGACAATTCGGTCAAAGTCGAATGGAAAATGACTACTCGTAGAGCGGGACTACGGTAGTGAATGCCACGTTTCACGGAAGATCCCACCGGGGCCATCCGAGCAGCGGGTGGGTCTTGTGACGGCAAACAAGGACGATGTCATAAAACACAGACTCAACGCTGCATAGATTGCTGATCTCTTTTTTCTCATATTTTGTTGGAATAGATAGACGAACAAGAGAAGTACCCCACGGTGATTCTCGACGCATGCGGAAGTACAAGTCACGTGGCATTTCTACTTTCTGATCATTGGGCTTCGAGTAAACCGGCTAATCTGTGCCCATTCGAGACCACCGGCATGTCGCATTGGGGATTTTTTTATGGTGGGGGGCCTCCTTGGACTAGACCACAGCGAAATTTATTGTGCCTTGGTAACGGTACTGGGTGCGGTATTGTCCCATTAACTGCCTCTTTTTAAACCCCAATCGCTCAATCAAGACTTAAGATTTATCAAATTCTTTTCCATTACATTATTCTTCAGCTTCTAATCTATCACCAAATAGCCTTACAGTTCGGACAGTTCGTGCTGCTCGGGGGCCGGGGCGGGTTGAGCCAAGGAGCGCTTCGCCATACAGGACTGGGCAAAACGGAAAAATGCAATCAACATCGGAAGAAAGAGCTGGAAAATTGCCTGGGGGGCCATCCCCCGTCCATTCAGACAATCAGCATGAGTAGTTATCCCCTCGAAACCTGGGCTTCTGTCAGTATGATACCTCACTAAAAAAAATCACAAATACCAAAAGAGCAGCCAGATTAATGGAGGGGGGGATACTTACGAATCCAGAATACAAATGAAGTAATCGTCACAGCCACCATCAACACAAACGATGGGAGAATCCACACCCTCTTAATCTTATCCCTCCACAGTATCAACCCTATGGCCACATACCCAAACAGTAACGATGCCAACTCCAGCGCAGGCAGAAAGAAAGCTGCTACCTTGATCGGCGCATGCGCACCACCACAAGGAGACATCCTCAGAACCATATCGACAATAAACCCTAGCGCCACCGTCCCTATAGTCACCTCCGTGACAAGGGCGTCGGCAGCAGACTCCTTACACTCCTCAGGGTCAGCCATGTAGAAAACGATATCCCACCAGCCAAACCTCGGGAGGGCCAACAGCAGTTGAAAAAGCTGCAGCGTCACATGTTCTGAAGCGGAATGCCCCATCGAGAGGGCATTCACTGTCGTTACGATGATATAGGCCGCGCCCCACAGGCACCCACTCAGCGGATTCCAGCGCTTCTCGAGGGACTTCCCAACGATGCACGTGCGGATGCGTAGCAAGCTGTAGCCCGCGACGACGATGAAAGTGAAGGAGGTCGCTAGAATGAAGGCAAATGCGGAAGTGGTGGTATAGGAGCACTGGCGCTCATCTGGATTGAGTTCCGGGGGTATGCTGCAGTAGTTGGGGGCCTCATTGAGGATCTTCGCTACGGGGGACTGAGACATAGTGGAAAGGATCTTGAGGGTTGTGAAGCCCAAGGAACGGTCTCGGGGGAATTTAAATGCTTTCCAGGGCCCCGAGACCAAAATTCCATAGAGCCACGAATCCCTCAAGGGATCGCCAGAAGGGCTTCTGGGGTTAGATCCCTTAGTATAGTTAATCGTTTACGGAAGGATGAGATATGAGAGTGAGGAAGTACCGTACCGGTATTGAGGTGTTTTCACGTCCACTAAGACAGATTGAGATACGAGCTCATCCACTCGAACTATACCAGTAAAGGCCCCTCAGGAGGCTCTCGAGGATAATACAGCCGATGAATGCCACATGGGCGATCTCGTGAGCCATAGTGACCCTTCCGCACCGCCGGCTCCATCCTAAAGTTATCCTATTCCCACATTCCCCCATCACTTACCGTATTCATAATTAAAATTCTATCCTGGAAGTTGGAGACGTGCAGATCACAGTGCGTCACTCGACATCCCTCAAGATTCCAATCCGGACCAATCTCGGTTACGTTATCATACGCCTGTGAAGTCTCAGAGCCCCATGGTCCCTGCATCCAGATTCACCCTCTCACCCTCTCACTCGCACACCATCTGCCGGTAATTAGGATATCCTTGAGCCTCAAGTTCTTTGTCAGGTGATCACAAGCCCAGAAACCCCCTGTCCCCCTCCAGCCCAAGCCCTCCTCACCCAGATCCCACCCTAAAGACTAACCGCAAACGGTTTAGCTCCCCACCCCCCCCGATAACTAACCAACCTATGATATTATGATACCGGTCATGCTGCCAACCACGACACCACCAAGGAAATAGCTGTACCAGTATCATACATTTTCCCCACACACAACGTATCGTTCGAATCTTTAATTTCTCCCCCCCCCTCCAACCTCAGCACCCCGACGCTACGTACCGACCTGCCATGGCCATCAGGTTGGCGTTAATTCCCCCATCACGATAAACGTACTAGTACAACTAACTCGTGGCGCCGGTGATGTGTTCAGGTACCTGATCTTGCTATCAAGGCAAGGGAAAGTGGTATGATACGATACATTGCCCTTCCACCCCTCCCCACATCACGATACCCCTGACCGCAAAATTCCGGATAAAAAAAACAAGCTAACCCCCTCCAGCGTTTGGCAAAATGGTTCACAACCCTCAGTTCCAAAGACAAATCAAAGACCATAAAAGACGTAATACAACTGGTCCTATCCCGACGGACAAAAATGTGTAATTTCCTCGAATATAAAGGTTTCATTCCCCCCCCCCCAACCTTTTCTTCCTTCCCTTCCCACCTTTCTCACAGCTTCCAGATACAAAAGTGGTATACCGCCGCTACGCCTCCCTCTTCTTCGTCGCGGGGATCGACAGCTCCGACAACGAACTCATCACGCTGGAAATCGTGCACCGCTACGTCGAGCAGATGGACAAGTACTATGGAAACGTGTGCGAGCTGGATATCATATTTAATTTCCAGAAGGCGTATTATATCCTGGACGAGTTATTGATTGCTGGCGAGATGCAGGAGAGTAGCAAGAGGGGGTTGTTGAAATGTATTGCGCAGCAGGATGCGATTGAGGATACCGAGGGGGAGGAGGATAGTATTGCGAGGATAGTGGGGTGAAACTAATGAACAGGAGGTGCCGTGTCTTGTCTCATCTCAATTCACGTTTTTTCCTTTGGGATTTTCGGCAATCTGTTCAGATACCAATGGAAGTCATTTGGAGGTTTGTTTGACGAGAGGGAATTTATTAGGGGGGCATAGGGAACCACTGATTACACTCTAGAATTTCCCTATGATCCATGCCTACCCGAGTAAAGCATCGACTCTATTGAGCTAAAGAGAAAGAAAAACAGTTTAAAATGACTAGGCATTGATGTATACTACATCGCCACCACTATTGCCTTTGATACGTAACCTTCACGACCTTGTCCCCTAAGGTCATTCCCCCAATTCCCTCCTTTGCCCCAATGGCGCCTTCCAGTTGTTCAAACTCCACAAACGCAATCCCCTTCCTTCCCGGCACCATGCGGACCTCCTTGAACCCATCGAAGCGTCCAAACAGCGAAGTGAGGGTATCCGAATCCGTCTCGTCGGGTAGGTTTTGTAAAAACAACGTGCTATTGGGTGGAAGATACTCGTCGGGAATTTGTGGAGCCGCCGCGGGTGCTGTAGACTTGAGACCGCCAGACTTCTTGGTAGCCTTCGCAGCATCCGCTTGGGGAGCTGCCGCGGTAGACGCATGACGCTGGGATTCCAGAGCTGCTAGTGCTTGCTTCCGTTCTGTATTTGTATACGTCGAGTATTAGCGTTGCATAACCCCAAAACAAGCGGTCAGAAGGGCAGGTGCGAGGACGGACCCCTCTCTGCAAGTCTCCGGCGCTTGTGGGCTTCGAACTCCTGGCTATCCTCGCCGGCCTCTCGCTTGACGGTCGCATCGCTTCGGGTCTTTGCAAAAGCTAGAACCATAGGTTTATCGAAGAGGGGGAATGCTTGGACTTCTTTGATGGCCTGCTCGGCCGCTTGGGGGCTGTCGAAGACGACAAATGCTTGTCCTTTGGCTTTCAGATTCTTCTTCGCGACGAGGTCGATTATGGTTCCATATTGAGAGAAGATGGCTGTCAGGGACTGCTTGAGCAATGGGATCTTTACGGATTCTTCGAGGTTGCGGATCTGTGCTTGTTAGCAGTGGGGTACGTGGGATAAGGGGAGTGAGTGGTGAGGAGTATACGTAGACTCTAGAGGAGAAAGGAGGCTGGTTAGTTGAGGGATTGCCTAGAATGTGAGGAAAGGATGGGGGGAGGTAATTACGTGCTAGATGGGGTGCCAGTGTTCACAGTCGAAGTTGGGGATGCCATAATTCGTTCCTTCACCGTCAGTTGTCGTGTGATTTTCGTTCAAAATGTCCGTTTGTGGGAGTGTCGGATGTCAATTCGTTGCCGACAGCTCCAGATTGGAGGAATGGCTCGGCGAAACAAAGCCACCAAAGTGTGCAGTCAATGTGGTTACCCTCCCTTTTGAGGGAGGCTCTGCTGAGTCTCTCTAACGTCATCTATCTCGAGTACGGTACGAGTACCCTGAGAGAACACCTCTTCCTTCCCTTTCGTCTGCGTGTAGTCCCCCCCACCTTTACTCGTGCTTCTTAGCCAAGAATTGGCACCCCATTTGTCCTAGCAAGTGGCACAGGTTCCTTTCCACATAATGGGTATAGTCAACCAATAGTGGACAACCAAAATTAGAGTCTAACTACTCGAGTATCTAGAGTGTAGCAGTCACAGCTCACAAGGAGATATACTCGAGTAGATGAAAAAAAGAAAGGAGAGATTCCCCTCCCCTCCCATTTATATTATACTAATACTTGTATATACCAGCACTCAAGTTGAAGAAAAAAACCCCTACCTATCTTAAAAAAAAAAAACTCCTACTCAAGCCGATACATACTTGTACAGTATATATATAAAAAAAGTACAAGAAGTAATCATGTGATACATGTATATAATATTATATATATATAAAGCTCACTAAGTACAAATACTAACCATACAAAAAATAATATATTAACCTATCCCATCCTCTCCTTCCCCTCTCCATACCCTCTCTCCTCTTTACTCCCACTCCTCCTCCTCCTCCTCCCACTTCCGGCGCCGGGCAGTATGCTTATACGATTTTCGTCCTCCGGCCCTGCGCTGTTCTGACTTCCCCCATAAATGCTTGTTATTGGGGGAAACGGGAGCGGCCGGGATGATAGGGTCAACCGGGGCCACCAGGACAGCTGGGATGACAGGGGCAGATGGGATGACGGAGGCAACTGGAATGATGGGAGTGATGGGGGCGGCGAGGGTGATGGGGGCAGTCGGGGTGCAAGCCGGAGTGCATGCTGGAGCTGCACCCTGCACCATCACGCTGGTCACTTTCTAAGTGGCCACGTTGCTCCCGACAAGGATAAGGGTGATTGCCATGCCAGTGAGAATTTTCTGCCGCCCTTGTGAAATACTGGTAACTAGCAGATGTAACATATCCAAATTAGCAATTTGCTTCATCTAAAGAGTGTGAAGATCTTAAACTAACCACTACAGCAGCAGAAACTTGAAGCCATTTTGTTTGAGGGATGCGATGGGATAACAATGGGAGGTGGGGAGGGGGGAGGAAAGTGTGAAAGGTTCGTACCCAAGTAAGCCTTAAGTATCATACTCCATCCCTCCATGATCCCCCCCTAGTATTCATTACAGGGCGGGGCAGGGCAGGTTTCCGCAAGCTCTCCCCGCCCTGTTACGACCACAGGGCACCTCCAGACTCCCCCCTCCCCGCCCCGCCCCCTGCACGGGGGCTATAGGACGACCCCAATTATGTTCCTAGCCATATAATTTGGTGGGAACAGTAGCAGGGCCCCATACAGGGGGTGGCCAGGGCGGGGGGGCCGTATCGGGCCGGGGGGAATGGAGGAGAAAATAGGCCTGGCCCCGGGCCAAACGCCGGGGCGGGGTGGGGAATGGGGGCAGGGACCCGCAGTTTTCGGGGCCCCGGAGGCCCCGTTACGAACTCTATTTCCCCCTCACTCCCAGACCGAATCCACTTTTCCCGGGTAGAAATGGAGGGGCTGACAGTTTTTACGGTTTCGTAGGGACGCGCAATAGGGTACGGCGGCCCCGGTTGACCCTGTTTCCAAACCAGCTAGGCACAGATATCGTTGTATCACACTCATATCCCGGCGAGATCATAGTAGGAGCACGGTACTCCCTGTCAACAGGGTGATCGAACACAAATGATGATGCTTGCAGTGGGCTTTTCTCCTCATTTAAGATCCCTCCACGGTTCACAATACTATCATGACAGATTGCCAGGGGCTTCAACCACAGACCATCGCCGCATGAAGGACTTGGAGCGAGAATCGAGTTTCCCCTCATCTCTGGTTTCAAACCAGAGATGTTTTAGACACCGGTCCCGAATTCACCGCGAAGGTCGAAATGAGTCACCTGCCATCCGTTGGGTAGGGCTGGCGGTCATCTGAATCCCGGGCCTTGTAAACCGGGAGCCTTCGGATCTCCATGTGCGTGCGCTTTCCGCCATCCTCGCTTAGCTGGCGGCCTATCGATACCCTGCTCTTTTTTCTTGGACAGAGCCTTCAAAAATGTCACTTTGAGGGGATGTGGTAGAGATGCCGAGAGGTTGGAGCTCTGCCGAGTGTGAGCTCTCTGGCCAAGGGGAGGGCTGTCGGCCAGCTGTTACCCAAGTCGCGAGTGATCCAATGTGAAGGCTGTGGGGGGGTGGCTTACAGGTGGGATTGCACTGGTACAAGTATCATAGCACACCTATGAAATTGTTGTTGACTTGTTTCAGAGGATAGGCAACCAAAAGGGATAATCCAGCAAACAATCGGGTATCATATGATACTAAAGTTTACCCAAGCCCTATCACCCTAAGAGAAACCCTCTACCTCCTGCAGTAAGCATTGGGTAAAACAGAAACAGCACGAGGGTTACCTTGTACAGTATATCAAATGCGATACCGGTAGGTGTCGTATCATACCCAACAAGATAGATGCTCAAGGGTTATTAGAAGAAGCAATATCTCCAGAGGCGAGGTGAGCAAGGAGCGCATTCAGGCCTTTTCCCACGGGGCGGCTAGCCTTTACCCTACAGGGTTTTGTGACACGCAACCAACCACCGGAGCCGCTTATAGGGGACGTGCTCAACTCCGAAATACCTACGCTACCGGTACCGGTATCATGCTATGCCCCGCCCTCCTCCTTTCAAATTCACCCAGCAAACATTTTCTCAATTCTGCCGATAGGACTTCCTCTTTTTCTTGCCTTAAAAGGGGAAATCGGCACACCGAAACGAACACTACTCAAACCTCCAGAATGGACAATATGAGCGACTGGGACCTCGTTCGCGAGCTCGCCTGCGAGAGCTGTACTCCGCCAAATGCCGAAGCAAACTCCCCAACAAGGCATCTCCCGCTGGAAATAATACAGGCGGTCTACTGGCATCTGACACCCAGCGAATATGATTCCGCGCGACTGGTATGCAAACGTTGGTTTAGAGCGTCACTCTCCTCTCCACTCATATTGTATTTCCTCCGCATCATGAATTTTCCGAGTAATATTCGGTCATTCTCCGAATCAAAACTGCAGAGATGGAAGCTTGGGGACCTAAGGCTGGTTTTCGCATTCGCTATTGATCAGTGGGGAGGGAGTAGGTTCAGAGCTTGCTACAGGAAGACTGACCTAAACTTATCCACGATTCTCAGGAACACGCACATTGACTCGGGGTACTCGTCCCGTGAGATAGAATTTCTCAACTTTTCGAAGAATCCAGGAGGCTATATGGGAATGGTCACCAGGGCGGTCGAAGGCTCCTCAAAAGTGCAGCGTACTCTGTGGATTCATGGAATTACCCCTATTGACCGCCCATCCGGGCCCCCCATCCTAGGATCGGGGGGATGGCACGAGGATAGCGGTTTGATTCCAATGTGGGGTGTCGATGAGCAGCCCGGAAAGTTATATCTCACCATGGAGTTGAAAAAGTGCCCGGACCAACCCATATTAGGACTGGATATAGAGCCGGGCGGATCAGAGCCAGGAATTATGAAGATACGAGTTAGATACCTGAATAGCCAAGAGAGCCTATCTTTCGACTGCCCACTGCAAACCGGACATCCTCGGAGCGGGGACGAATCATATCTAGAGGACAGCCCCTATGAGATACTTTGTAGAAGTCCAGGTATCACCTACCGGACGGGCCCCTACAGAATTCCTGGATTCAATACCCCCAGGAATTCTGGACCTAACACCTCGCGAAAGCTGCTCCGAGCCATGTTTGGGTCCCCCAGAGGTTCCCACAGCTGCAGCGTTCCTCGAGAACCAACAAGCCCCCTTCCGTTATGGGCTCCACGATTCATGGTTGGAAGTCTTACTTCAGCACCCAGGGCTGCTCAGGCCTTGTCCGAGCAGCATGCAGCGACATATGTGACTCTCCCTCGGGCTGCCCCCATGTTTCACCATCCTGAAGCCGCTCACAACCAGACATTACGACTTCCTCACGGCCACATTATACCAAAGCCAAAGCCATCGACACTACGCGAGAGGGTTGGTAAATTGTCCCACAAAGCCATAATGCCAAAACCGGGGCCGTTGAAGAGCTTGAAAATGGCAAACATGCCATTTTCACGTACCGTGATGGCAATGGTTGGAGATGACCCCGTGCGGCAAATGTGTCACAGGTTGGACATACCCCTCGAGAGTGAAACTTGCACCGTTCTCGTAACTGCGAAGAAAGGTATAATTATATGCTCTCTGTCTGATCCAACATTGGATATTGGGGGCACAGAAGTTTTGGATGCTCGTTATAGTCTCGCACCCCCGCCTCGGATGTCGGAAAAGGCCACAAGAATCACACACATCGCAATTGCTCCGTGGCATGAGCATTGCTACTTCGGGCATGGGCTAAAATGGTGGAATATGGGGATTTGTGCTGGATACAATAATGGAGAAGTATGGTTCTGGAAGGTGGATATGGAGAATCTACGCCGGAGAATACCTGTCCCCGGCTGCTTCGGGCGCCACCATACAGAGATTGGCCCACCAACTTCAGATGCGAATGAGTTGCCCTCCCCTTCGAGCCCGATCTCGGCTTCGCTCCCGGGTTCATTGTATCTACCCCTCCCATACTTTGCGCCCCGTGGTGAATGTCAATCAATGCCCCTCGGCGAGCTGGCTTACACGACAGGTAAGAAGGTCCGACAGACCAGGGTGCATCTTCCAGTGGCTGGGTTTAAAAAGGCAGAATCCTGGATTTTGGGATTTATGCCCGGCCTCATGAAGTTGAGTTTCATTGGGAGGGGGAAAATGGTGGCGGGTGTGACGGAGAAGAACGTTGTGATATTTGATATGAGGCGTGGAGGGGGCTATGAGACTGGCTCCGTAAAGGGGATATTTCGTTGATCTGTGATTTCACCCGACGCACCACGCGAGCTTTTTGAAGTGGATGTCTGGGGGAACCCCGGGCGAGTGATGGCAGATGGGAGGGTAGGAGGGGAGGCAAGTCATCTGGAGGGGAACTGGAACGGCTTTTGGGTGTAGCTAACACTAATCATGGCAGTCATTAGTCTATCTAAAAATGGTGTCCTACCGTACAACACCAAGTAATTGAGGAAACAGCCTGTAAAGGAGAGAAGCGCGAACCCGGAAACAGGAAAGGAAACAAGAATAAAGGGAAAACAAGACAACCAACCGACCACCAGAGAAAACACCTAGAAGAAAATCGGGAAATATAAAGTACAACTCTTACAAAATACCTCTCCAGACACATTCTTCCACACTTGCTCCCGTCTAAGAATTAAGGACCGCCTCGCTCCAGATACACGACCACCATTCTGTCTAATCTTCCCTTGGCGGCAAACACTTTCCACCATTAACCACGTAATCCTCCATCATCTTGAGCTCGCTCTCACAGAGATAATCAAATTCGCCGGCGAGCTCAAATAAGGGATCGAGCCTCAACGCTACCAAGCCCAGATTCTGGCGCAAAAACATCATTGCATCATCCCATCTGCCCGCGTACAAGGAGCACATTGAAAAGGAAAGTTCCTGCAGGGTGCTCTTATGCCGCAGCAGAAAGGCATATAATTCCTGATCCTCCATGTCAATGAAGCTGAAGCTGACCTTTTGCAGGCGCGGCCAGATGTGTTCTGAGCCGAAGATTGTGGATAGTGGGATCGCCTCCCTCGCGCAGGAGATGCCGAATTGCAGTGTGAGGCTTTGCAAGTTCGGACTCGAGGGGAGGATAACGTTGAACAACGGGGTCTTGATGAGGTGTTCTACCATGGAGTCTTCAATATCCATCTTCAACCCGAGCACTCGGCAATTCTGGAAAACAGCACCAGCGCGCTCCAGCCTCACTGTATTATCAAAGAACATCCTCGGGTCGACCTTCGCATCGACGTAAAAGGTGTCCAACTTGCACCCGGCATAATACACCGCATCCACCAGTGCGGCGAAAGCCCTATAATGATCCTTCGAACCGGAATAGCCATGCAATTCCGCCGATAACTCAATCCGGTAATTAAACCCCCCGTTACACCCCAGCGTAAGACTGCTCTGACTGAGCCAGTAATCCCGATCTCGTTCGTTATTTTCCTTCATCAGTACACCCCTCAGCCGCGGAAACCCCCTCACCGCCTCTGCCAGAATACTGGCAAAGTCCCCGGAAGTTTGCAATTTGGAGTACTGATCGACATGGTATGTGAGCAAGCGAAACGCTTCCGGTATCCTCTTCGCGCTGCCAGAGATGTCGATACCCTCGGCTTCCAAATGCCGGACGAAAGGCCCCCAGATCAAGTCCCGGATAGGCGGCAGGTCGAGAACGAGCTCACGAATGTTGTGGGCCAAATGCGGGTGCTGGGAGATCCTGCGGAGCCGGGAGAGGCTTGGGTAGGAGGGGTGGAAGGAGATGGTGTGGAAGAGGAGCTCTGCGCCTAGGATTGCGAAGGTTCTAGAGACGAGACGGAGTGATGCTACATCTGTGCGTTTTGTAAGGTAGCTGACGATGTGGCGGGCGGTTTCTGGGGGGAGTTTGTCCATTGTTGATGCTGTCGTTATGTAGGTGTGTGGGGGGCGCTGTCGTCGTTGCTGGCATGAATAAGTATGGAAAACGTGTATGCCGGAGGAGCAGTACCGTACCGTAGTAGTAATGTAAGATTACGTAGGAAGGGGAGAAGAGAGCTCCAAGAAAGGTTTTTTTTTACTTGTTTTTTTTTCCTTTTACCGTATGGTAATGCAGTAAAGGACAGGTTTAGAATACCGTAACTGTCTGTCTGTCTGTTTCGCTCCCTCGGAACAGGAAATAGAGCAACAGCAAAAAAGGGAAAGGATCTAGAACAAGGATCGATCCCCTTCCCCCTCTCCTTCTCCCTCGACGTCAAGAAAAAAGGTACAGCAAAATCAAAGTAAACAAACACGACCGTCCGCGACGTACAGTACTTGCATCAACCAAAAATCAAGCGGGGAGAGTGGGCGTGAAGGTACGAAGAAAGAAGAGAAGAGAAAAGGGAAAGACGTCAGAGGAGAGAAGACAGATATTCCCTACAGTACCCTTCCTTCCTTCCTTCCTTGACTCCAGACAAGAGCTGGAGAAGCGCCCCTTTTTCGGCCCCAGCCCCCTTACTGACCTCACATGATTTGCGAAACCCGCCGCTGTTTGGACGAAAAAAAAAAAAAAAGCAAAAAGCAAAAACCGATCCCGATCGATTCGATGGGGGGAGGGTCGGTGAAGTCTGCTCGGTCGGTTGGGATGAGTGGTTGGATGAAGGATGGAGGATGCATCGTAGGTCTCCGAGCATTCTTTTGCCTACTCCCCTCTCTCTCTCTCTTGTTTTTTTTTTTTTTTCTATTTTTTCTATTTTGTCGGCTCTACTCTGCTATGCTAACATGGTTCTATTAGCGAGTGAGAATATGTGATACTGTTCTAACGATACGGTACGGTGCAGGGGCACTGAACACTTTTTTCACTTTATCTAACCCCCATATCCTTCCTTTTTTTCTCCTTAGCTAATTAGTTAGGCCCTTCAAACACCATCGTGATGTTTATATTAAAGAAAGAAAGAAAAAAAAACTCATCACAATGTCATCACATCGCATCACACCGATGGCGTTTTACCCTGGCCTACCCTGGGCCCTGGCTCGCTGGCTGGCTGGCTGTCACGCCCCGCCCGGGCATGCCCTGTCCTCCTCCTTCCAACCGTCAAACATGCGATGCGCGATGCGCCCCTTCCTTCCCCATCGCGATTTCTAGCTGCCCGCGGCTGGAGGGAGGGGGAAAAAAGAAAATAATAACAATAATAATACCCGGATCGAATCGAATGAGTTGAGAGACCGGCCGGTGTGGGAGCTACAGTACGATTCGGAGCCTAGTTTTTCTTTTTCTTTTTGGTTTGTGCTCTGGTTCAGGGCAGGTTCGGTTGCAGGAGCAAGGGTGCTTGTTGTGTGTGTGCGGGCATCAGGGATCGGATCGGGAAGGGGAGATTTTCCTGGGTTGTGGCTGTGTTTCTTTTCTCTTTTCTTTTCTTTTCTCTTGTGGCGGTGGTGGGTACGAGTACCGTACTGTACTGGTACGGTACTGTACTCGTACTCGTATTTTCTGTTGGTACGGTATGGTACTGTACAGTAAGCTGAGTGGTTCGCCGGCGTTTCTTGAAACTTGGCGGGTGATGTTTGGTGTGGGTTAGGTTGTGGCTCGGTCAATCGGTTTTTTGATAGGTTTTGTGGGGATTGCCACGTCCGCATATGGTACGGTAGGGTTGCTTTTCTTCTTTCCCGATATAATTTGCTTGAATTCGATGCGGGACGGTACGGTGCCTATAACAGTACTCGATGGTGTTCGGGGTGCACTGTACGGTACGGTACTGTGCCGTTCGGTTCGGTTTGGTAAGGTAAGGTTATCGCGGAGACGCAGGCGATCTACGATGTGGGGTCACGAAATCGGGTCACGAAATCGGAGCAATGCGATGCGGTACGATACCGTTCCATACGGTATGATACTTGTGCATGGAAACGACCAATATATATCGGGCTCTCGGGCCAACTTATAGGACCACGATCCAGGTCTGTGAACTCCCAACCCCCCAGAATTTTGGATAAGTGCGCACTGTTTATTAAGCGGAGCGCAGGACGAGGTTTACCCGGGCGGTTTTAGTATCGTACACTGTGGCCGGGTACTCTATGGCCGTCAGTTGCTCAACTTGTTACTCGGATGCCATCGGGGGGTAGTGAGGCTTTCGCTGCGCACTCGGGACCGAACGGCTTTTCTGTGATGGCGAAAAAATAATAATCTGGATTTCGGCGGCTCAATCGCGAGTAGCTCTCTGGCTCCTTGGGTGCGTGCACTCGCCCGATCGCCCGAAATGCCCGGCGATGCGATCACCTCTCTCGATTTCGTGATCTTTGCGAGCTAGGCATCGTGAGCAGTGAGGAGGAGGGATTTGCGTGTCCGGGCTGCTTGCCGGATTCCCCGGATGTCATTGAAATGAGGACTGCTCGTGGCTTTGTCGATTGTCTTTGTGCAATATTTCTCTCGCATGGCTGGCCGATATGCGACGTTTCCCTGGTAATGGTTGTATGATACCCTCACAAACCGTGATACCCGGGATCGAGGGAGGGAGGGGGTGCAAAGACTGTCAGGGGCTCGGAGGCGGGGTATTATCGATCCATGTGGTGCGAGCTGCTGGGAAGGGGGTTTGGGGTACTTGTTAGATGGACATTAACAACTTTGATGTTTTATAATGGGAAGAGGGCTTTATCCGCCCCTCGAGAGATATCATATCATAGTTCACCAGATAATCGCTGGCTCGGGTGCAAGACCTTACCCTGCCCGTGGGGTAAAAGATTCTGGGAGGGGAGCTTACAGACATGCTCACGTATGATAGGTAGGCGGTATCAGTCATGAACACCCACGGGTGCTGGGCCCCCTCCCTTACCAGCGCAGACCAAAGCCGATATATATCCCCCCCCCCCTAGCACTCAACAACACTCAAACAAACACAGTGGACATCACAGCCTCTACCCTCCTCCTACCCCTCCCAATCACCCAATCACCCACGCCCTCGCAATCTTCCTGATACAACAACCCCTTACCTTTTCCCGCGTGCGGCACACCGCTACCCCCCTAGTATCGGCCTTGACAACGAGGCCGCAGAGTGTGGGGAACCCCCTCCCCCGATATTTCCCCCGGAAAGCAGATCCATCATATCATAACATGCCACACCACACACCATAAAAGTATGATAATTAAAATATAGCCATCCATTCCCTTAACCCCTTCAAAGCCCAATCCCACAATCACATCACCGAAGAAAAACACACCCAGGACAGAACCTTAAGCCGCCGATAGCAGGTCCACCCAGGTACAAGCGTCTGTTCCAAAATAGATTTACCAGATGCAGTGAAGGATCCGGACATGCTCATCTTGATCGATACAAAGCACGTTAGCACAGGTATCACACTCCACCCCGGAAGAAACAACCCCCCCCCCCCCCACCGACGAGTCACTAGAGCGGAGGATGCGTGATGAATGCATCGATGATTACCGTCCATTATAGTCAGCCAATACACCCGGTGCGTATCTCAAACCACAGCACCCCTCACGCATCTACCGTGTCCCAAGATACGATATAATAAATAGCGAACGACGCCTCTCCCCCTCCATACTCACTTTACCATACTAAAAGTAAAAGAAAACGAGAGAAAAAAACCCCCCACGGGCAACCCCCAGCGGCAGAAAGTACCGTACTAGTAACAGCAGAAAGCAACCCCGGAACCAAACACCCAAACATGTCCTTCCCCCATTTTCTCGCAATCTTGTCGACAGCCTACAGCATCATATATGAACGTAACGCCACCGGAGTAACTGGGCTGTGCGGTACTGGTACCAGTATCCCCAACTCTCGACATTCTCCTTCCAGCATGGATAACCACGAGTGCTGGCGCATAAGGCACAAAAAGTACTATACTTTTTTTTTACCAGTATCATCATACTGCAGGTACGCGAAGATCCGAGCACGCCGGTATGGTAAAACGCCCCATCTGTGCAAAACAGCGGTTCAAGGTACCGCTTACAGTACTAGTACTGTATCAGCGGAAATGGAAAAGCGCGTAAGGAAGCCCGTACTGTATTCTAGGTTTGATCGTGCCGCGCCAGGAGCCGGGGGAACGTGGTCTTTATCGCGTGTTATGATACATTATCAACAGGGAAACGGGAGGGAAAGTGTGAGCCCGGTAAAAAAATTAAAAAAATTAAAAAAGCGCGGTCATCGCTGGTCACTCGGAGAGTGAGAAGCTGTGATTTGGAGTGTCGTGTATCGTGAAAAAAAATCAAAAAAATCATCGTTGGTGGGCCCGCCGAGTTATGATATGAATGGTATGATACACCCATCGCAGTGTGGTGATGATGATATCCCTATTCTCCGTCAGGGGTTTGGCAAATGCGATGGCGGTGGTGTGATCTGAGATAGGGTGTGGTAAAGGTGAGTGCGGGGGGGGGAGGAAGGGAGGGGTCGTTTGTGAGCAGCGGACATTTTCCCTTCAGCGCTTATATGGTACTGTGTAGCGCGCGTTACTCGGATGTGGTTATATTAACACTCGGCGGTTCTACTCTAAAATACAGCGCGGGCACAAATACCAGAATCCTGGTGGTACAAAGTACTCCAAAAAAATCACCCAAAACACCGTTCCCGAAACCTCCTGTTCGCCTGGCCAAGAACCCACCGTAGGTAACACTACGCAAAGACTCCCAACCCCCACCCCCGAATACAATGGTGCTCGAGTATGATACAACCCAACCCGTCCCTTAAAAAGACTTCAGAGTGTCGAACAGCCTCCTCTCCCTCTCCTTCTCCCTCTTATCCCCCAAGTCCCCATCCGCTACCCCACTTCTACTATTCTCCCCCTCTGCCCTCCTCCTAGCGGCCATCGATTTCCCGCGATACGTGCTACTCTTCTCTAGCGGTTTCGGCAGCAAGAACAGCGGGTCATCATCAAAGCCTATGATTTTCGAAAACGAAGTAGTTCTCGACTGCGGCGCAGAAGTGCTTGTAGTGCTGGAGAGGGAGGTGGAGGAGGTAGAAGTGGTGGTGGGGATTGAATCGCGGCGCTTACGGGGATTCGGTGGTTGTAGGGGTGGGGGGGATGGGGGACGCTTTATCGGCCTGGCTTGGTTGCGGCTGTTGGTGGAAGGGGGGATGGAGGATAAAGGTGGCACGGAGGGTGTCCGGAAGGAGTGAACTGGGGCGTCAAGGTCATCGTCTGAGGGTGTGTCTGTACCCGAGGCCTGTTCTCGCTTGATATTCAACCCGGTGGCGGAAGGGCTGGTATTTCTAGCATTTTTTCCCCTTTCCCGAAGCCGGAGTATCGGCGCCATAATATCCTCCTCCTCGTCCTCCTGCTTCTCCACCTTGACTTTAACCCCCCTGGCCGCCGCCCCTCCACCCACGACCTGCGAATCCGTGAACCCCGCTGCAGCCCTCGTTCCTCCCCCTCCCCCTCCCCTCCCCTTCCACTTCTCCCCCAGCCTTCCCTTGGCACAGCCGCCACTGCTACCCCTCCCGCTCATCAATTTCCCTAGAGCCCCCCCCCACCCTTCTCCATCCTCATCGCTACTGCTACCGCTACCCCCATCCAGTCCCAAAGCAGCAACCCTCGCCCCCCTCCTCCCACGCATAATGGCCTCCCGGCTCATTCTCGTAACCCCGTCCACGGGCCGCTGTATATCGCTGATTCGGTGCGCATTCTTGAGCGCAGCGGCGGCCTGCAAGCGGCTGTATTCCGCGCGGTGGAGGGAGCGCGTGTAGAGCTGGGCGGTGGTCAAGAGTTCGTCCTCGACCATTATGTACGCATTGTCCTGGGGAGTCATGTATTCGATTGCCGCCTCGTCCGGGGCGGGGCCTTCGTTCCCGGGAGCATTGTGGAGGGGTGAGGAGGTGGAGAAGTTGCGTTCGAGTTTTCCTTTCAGCGGCGGCGATGGTGGTTGCGGTGGTGTTGGTGGCGGTCTGGTGGAAGGTTTTGATGAAGAGGAGGCAGAGGTGGAAGCGCGGGTTTTCACCCAGGGGAGTGCCCGAGGCATGATTTGCTCTGGCCGTGCTGCGCTGTCCCGTGCTGTGCTGTGCGTTGTTGGTGTTGATCAAGCGGTGGGCTCCACCATTGTGGAGGCAGGAGGGGTTGTACAGTACCGATATCATACGTCAACGCGTTTCCCTACGCACACGGCACCTCGCGCTCGAGCGCATATCATAAAAGCCCTGTCTAACCCAACAAACGGGTAGCCTAACCCGTCATACCCACTCATACCCGCAGCTTCCAATTCGCGCGCTTTCACCCGGATGCGACCGACAAAAAAAAAAAAAAAAAGAACACAACCTCTCCCATTGCTTCAACATCACAGGTTCGTCCACACACACACCATCTCGGGAAATTTTATATTACCGTCCGCATAAAAGAGCAGCATACAGATAATCTAACTGGTCTAAGGTCATACGATAAGTTGTCCAGCGAATGGGTGAGAGGGGATTGCGAGAGATGAGCCCCGGACAGCTCATTGTGCTGCTGCTGGGCGAGCAGGTTACGTCGTTGCCCTTGGAATGGATGGATGGGTGGATGGGGGAGGAGGGAAGGGAAGGGAGAAAGGGAGAAGAAGGGGGGGGAGAAGGAAAGGGAGGAGAGAGGAGTTAGATGGTACGTGCTCGAGCGTGTTGTGTGTGCGAGTACAGTGGGCAAAGCGGGATGAAGGGATTTTTATGGGAAGAGGAGATTAAGGGAAGCTCTGCGTTGTTTTAATTGCCGTTGTTGTTTGCCTTGGGACCAGTGGTACCGGTGGTACCGGTACCATGCAGCACGACACCAGCACAGTTAACTGTACTCGAGTAGGGTATCATACTCGTACTTGCACAAGTATCGTGTTGTGGGAAGCACAAGGCAGGGAAGGGAAATTACTCGCCGGAAAACAGCTCAAGGCAGAGCGTATAGTACCGTAGAGTACCGGTACAGTGCCGTGCCCTACCGTATCCTCCCACACACCGACGTCAGGGAGGAAGGAGGAACGGAGGCAGGGTGGGAGAGGGAGAGGGAGAGGGAGAGGGAAGGGGAAGAAAGGAAAAGAGGGAAAGAAAAAAAAAAAAGTGTACCGATATATATACCTCAACACCTGTATCCCATATCCCATACTCGTAGGGCCGGTATAAAGCCCATGAACCAAAATTTCCCTTCCTTCGGAAAATTCTTTTTATATTATTATCACACTCGTACCACGACTCACTCCACTCAGCCCAGCCCATTGTGTGTGGCCCGGCCAGATCCACCCTGACCAACGGTATTCTTACCCTTTACCTATCACACTTGTACCCGTACCCGTACCAAAACCTATCTTTGTTTCACCCGCAACCCGTTTCCAATCCGATCCAGTCCAGCCCCGGCTCTCACTTTTTTTTCCTTTTCCTTTTCCTTTTCCTTTTCCTTTTCCCTCTTTCTTTTCTTCTTTCTTTCTTTCATTCCTTCTTTCACTGTTGGTTGGTTGGTTTTTTTGACTTTCCCTCTTCTTTCCCATTTGTTTCCCGGGAATCTCATTCCCTTCTCTCGCTATTTTAACTTGACCGACAGACGCACTCACTACCGCTCCCGCTCCCTCGACTGCATACCTACCGTAGCTACATACCTCCATCTGCCAACCCTTACCTGCCAACCTGCCTACGTGCATACATACATACATACATACGTACATACGCCGTACCGGCATACATCTGTTATCACTCCTGCAGCTTCATATTTATTTGTTTATTCCGATACGGGTGCTACGACGCTTGGGAAGGGGCCGAGATAATGGATCCAATGGCCATCTGCAGATGGTTGGAGAGTGTGTTCGTGCTCCCTTCCCTTCCCTTCATTCTACCACCTTGCTTCCCCCGAGTTGGCTGACATGCTTCGACAGAATGGAAGCGCAAGGCGTGACCGGGGCCCTCCTGATCGATAGCTCCACGGGGATTTGTCTGGGAGGTTGGTTCTCCCGTCCCCGTACCCTCTCCAGAGATGTGCTGACGATGGTGGTGGAAACGCTAGCGGCGGGTAAAGCCACCGAGGATGACGCGACATTCCTGGCCGTTGCGTCACGGGATGCGCTTGATGGGGAGGGCGTTGGAGCTGTTGCTTTCAAGGACAGGTTTGTTTCTCCCCTTCTCCCCTTTCCCTCTCCTGCAGAGGCGAGTGCAGTTTAGGGGGAGCACTGCTGATGACGAGAGCTGTGTGAGCAGTCGGGTCATGCTCAAGAAGGGTGACGGAGTTCTTGTCGCTGTCTTCAAGGACCTGTGAAGGTGCCATGGCGGCGTAAACTGGGCGCTTGGTTTATCTTTTGTTACCTCCTCTCTCTCTCTCTCTCTCTCTCTCTCTCTCTCTCTCTCT